TATGCAATGTTCTGATTTTTTGTGCATATGTTTCTAGCTAGGAAAAATGCTTTTGTTGTTGGCATGGTGTATTTTGAGAAGGTAGAGGCTTTTGTTGGCAATTTATCTTTTGTATGGTTTATTGAAAGTGCTTAGGTGAAGGGCCTATTTTTTTGGATGCTTGCATATATTTTTGGCTCTCTGCAAATTTTGGATGCCTGTCTAGTTGATGTAAATGTAAATTATGTTCAGTCTACAGGGCTTGTATTATGAACACTTTCAGTAATATTTGGATGATAAGTAGAAAATATTGCTTAGTTTGTATTTATAAAATCTCTTTGATAAGCAGAGTTTTGCTTAGTTTGTATTTATAGAATCTCTTTGATATGCAGAGTGGCTTCTAATATGGCAGCATTAGTCTTTATAGACAATGCTCCAATGGTAATAGATGGGAAGTTGGTTTGGTTAGGTAACCAAGTGCTAAGTATCAAAAAAAAAAAAGATAACCAAGTGTTAGTGGGCCCCATATAAAGGGTAGATTGGGAAATTATCCTTATATATTATGATTATATCATGAAGTTATAATGGCATATACTAACAGAGAATGGTGGTGGGGGTTATGTGTTACACACATACAAACTTCATGGGGTCTAGGTGCAATATGTCAAATGTGAGAAAATCTAGGTGATTAAGTGACAAACTTCAGGGGTCTAGGTGTAATTTATCTTATTAATTAAGCCACGATTAGTGGTCAAATTCAGAATATATAAAACCTCAATTCGTTGGTTAAATATTACATTATTCATGACATATATCATAGATGCATTTTTTGTGAAATTATTATGTATTAATTATTATTTTATAATGATGCATGCATACATATATATTACATTGATAGAATTGGATATAATTAGATGCTTGGGTGGGATCTTTTCTAATCAGCATGGGTAACTTGGCTAGAGAGACTCGTCAAGTAGTGAAAGATTAGTCAACCATATTTGGATAATTTTTAGCCTTCTTTGACTTTAGAGAGTTCAAGAAATATTGGTGAAGTTGAGAAAATATTAGTGAAATTGAGGATACTACTTCTAAATATCCCTTCATTATACCTAAAAACTTTTGCTTAACTTTGTTACCCATGAACAATTCTATAATATCACTAATGTTAACCATTCCACGGTCCTTTTCCTAACTGATTATTCACTCAAAAGTCTCAGCTTTTGACCTTTTGTTTTCCTCCTTAACTCACTCTTTCTCTATTAACTCACTTCAGCCCTCACGCTTCTTTTACTCCCTCTTCTTCCTCATCTCAAATTTGTTGTTCCTAATTTCTTCTTACTGCTCAGTAATCCTATCTTTCTTGGGCCGTCTTTATCGCGTCATGTTGCATCCAATCATCCTCTTCTCAAAAGTAGTCAGTTATTGGCTTATCATCGCAGCCAACGCTTTGTGCTTATGAGGCAACTTTCATTTCCTGCAAGAAGACTTTTTTTGGGATCACACAGTCATGTGTGTGCTTTCCGAATAAGGATTTGGAGGTGGGCATGTCTCTTTGTTGTTGCAGTTGTTGTTGAGATCTAGAGGATTTACCATCTTGTCGGGTGAATTGCCTGATTTTTTTTTCCAGCATTCTTTAAATCTCTTTTCCAGCATTCTTTAATATATGTACTATTGTTTATTTTTATACAAATTAGAACTACATTGGTTTGGATTAGCCTGTTCAAATAAAAAATGTCCAAGCAATCTTAGAATGAGTAAAACTAGGAAATTTTTGTACTTGAAACTTTTGTTGGCCTTAAACAACTTTTTCGTTTTTTGTTGCCTAACCAGGATTTATCTTTGCTGGTACATTTTTTTGGTGTAGTTATTAATACTTCAAATTTTAGAATTTGGGGGGAAATCAAGAATTTTGAGAAGTTGAATTAATGTCAAATACGAAACGTGATCCTAGCTAAATATGGTAGTACAATGCTTGATTCTCTATAAGAATGTTATTATGTTAACTTTGGTGGTTGGGTTTATTAGAGTTTGAGATGCCCATTGAAGTTTTTCAGGTGGATTATATATTTTCTCAGAGATGTTGAATTTACGGTGATAAAAATAAGTTTCGATGTAATTTGTGTAGTTAGTGTCAAATAGTATGGCCAAACATTAGAGATTTTTCATTAGAGCAATGATATTATCATTTATCATATTTTAGAAGAAAAAATTCTAATCATTGAATGAATCATTTGTCCTATTCTTTCATATACAAATAATCATTGAAACAAACAATCGAATAAAAGTTGACTTAGATAAAAATCAATAATAAAATGAAAACATTAGGTCTAATCCCCCATTTCAGTCGTACACTATTTTTTTATTTTTTGTGATGTTGGAATTCAATTTATTTAATTGAGAACTGTTTTGTTCTTAAATTTAAAATTTTCGTCAATTTGTTTAGTAATCGAGCCTGTTCCTATATTCAATTGGAGCTTCACAGGCACGCGAGCAAGGACTTAGGAGCTTCAGCTCGACCCCACACTCTTGCAAGCCTATATCATCAAAGTTTTTGCTAATCAAACTTCAACACAAATTTTAGGGGAACCTATCTAAGGAAATGATTTCTGCCCTTAGATTTATTAATGCATCTTTGGGCTACTCGAGATTGTCTTGAGAAAAATTATAAGCTAGCCACTATATAATTACTGGTCGATACAATTCAATACTTGGATTCACTTGGGATTACTATAGCTTGAAGGAAATGTTTTGTGACATGGTTTTTCTAGCATTTAAATGTTATCAATATTTGTTTTCTGATACTTAAAGTTCATCATTACCATTATATCAGAACTGAAATTACTCTAGATTATAATGTTCATGTCAAAAGTTTCAAATCTTAGGCTCCTGTGCAACGCACGTATGCATTAACTAATTATATATCAACGTACCATCATACTATTATCAATTGCGAGAGAAAAAAATAATGTTTGTTAAAATATGTGGTGTTTATCTAAAAATACTTTTTTGGCTGCACCCATAATTTTATTGGTAACGTTATCACCTATCTCACACTCACTACAAATACTAGACCCAAAATATTTATAGTATTCAATCTTTATTATCTCTTGATCTTCAATTTTTACTACTTTCTAGTTGCGATTTCTCTTTTTACTAAATTTACATTCCATTTATTCAATTTTAGTCGTGCTTATCTTAAATACCTTTGATTTTTAGAGTTTTCCTCATATTTACAGTTTATTATTAATTTCTTATTTTTTTTTATCAACTAATACAATATTATCCGCAAATAACATACACCATGAAAGTTCATTATGAATGTGTCTAATCCATTCATCCATAATCAACACAAAAAGATATGAACTCAAAGCAAAACTCTGATGTAAGCCTAAAGTTATTGGAAATTCATTAGTTTCTCCTATCATTGTTCTCATTAAACTCACTACATCTTCATACATATACTCAAATCACATCAACATACCTAACAATAATGTTTCTCTTCTTTACAACCCTCCACGATATAACTCTATAAACTCTTTTATATATCTTCTCTAGAACTCAATTATAAGTATCTTATAAAGTCTATAAAAACCATATAATGGTCTTTATTTTTTTCTCTATACCTCTCCATTAGTCTTCAAATAAGTATATAACTTTCATTGTTTATCTCTAACACAAAAATCCAAACTCATTCTCAGAAACCATTGTTTCAAACATCAATGTTTGCTCGATCACTCTCTCACAAAACTTCATTGTATGACTAATGACTCATTAGTTTTATACATCAATAGTTTGTGCAACTTTGTATGTCTTCCTTATTTTTATATATAGGTACTAAAATACTCTTCCTCCACGCATCGAGAATTTTCTTGTCCATTAGAATTTATATTAAATAATTTAGTTATTCTTGATACCTCGACATCCCCTAAACACTTCCAAATCTAAATAGGTATACCATCAGGTTCGAAAACTTTTGTTATATTCATTTTTTTTATTGTCTTTTTTACCTCCAACATCTTAACCCTATGAAAAAAAATGTGTTTTCTCTAATTTATCTATGTGTTTTGTAGCAAAACACTAGAGTCTGATTGACACTCTAGTTTTTCTTTTTCTTAATTTAACAAGTTTATATACATATTTTCTCCATCCTTTGTGCCTATTTTAGAGTAAAAATCATCATATATTTTGTACTTAACATTCCTTACCTTGTTTTTAACTTTTTTATTTGCAAACTGGAATTTTTAAAGTCCTCCTCATTTTTAGTTTTTTTGTCATATTTTATAAGACTCTTTTTGCTTGTACCCTAAGTTAGACCTCATTATTTTACCACCAAATTTATCTTAGTAATGTCCATTACCTCTTGATTCTCCAAAAATCTCAATAGCAATTTTTTTAATATGTTCGACCATCGTATTTCATATTATATTTGTTTCATCTTTTAAATTTCATACTACTTTTAAGATTTTATTCTTACACAAATCTAACTTTTCAACTTTCAAATTCCACCATTTATTTCTTGGATTTTTAATTTCTTTCTACTCTCTTATATTGTTGTTAATAATATATATTTAGTAACATTATCCTATATTGTATGGTTAAGCTCTTGCCTGGAATGACTTTATAGTCCTTACATGTTCTACTATCTCTTCATCTAGTTAGGCAAAAATCTATTTTTTATTAAATCCACTTTTAAAAGTTGTTAAATGTGCATGAATAATCAACAAATAATTGGCTACACACAAAAGTACAGAAAGAGATTGAGGTTAAGTTACAATTTTTAATTTTTTTAGGTGCAAATTACAAATTCAAAAGGTATAATCAAACTTAAAATGTTAAAGATCGTTCAAGTAAGTCATAACTTTTGAAGGTGAAATTGTAATTAATTGGAGTTATTCATGATTGAACACAACCTTTCGTGATCAATCAAGAATATATCTAATTAGTTATAACTTTCATATAACAAAATTTATAAAAATAATAATTTTCATTACAATATCAATTTTTTTCGCCTGTCATAGTGCTATGGTATAGTAATAGGTTAGACACATCAGACGTCACCGAGGACAATTCCCTTGCACCATGTCCTATGAATGGTACTTAAGAATGATATTACCAATAGAGAGACAAGAGAAGTGAAATTAGCTAAGATAGCTTCATTGTTGTGATATAGGGGTTATACGTTCCACTCACAAAAATAATTTCTTAGCGCACAGATATAAATCTTTATACATTTGCCTCTTATAGACCCCGCAATCTGCAATCCTCAGACCCTGCAATCTGCAATCGTGAGAACCTCGTTCATTGGATTACCTTTTTTAAGTGTGTGTGTGTGTGTGAGAGAGACAGAGAGAGAAAGAGAGAGAGAGAGAGAGAGAGAGAGAGAGAGAGAGATTACCGAGATAAAGGACCACAGCATACCTTCAAGCTTGTTACCTCTAGGATGATTGCAAAAGCCCCCAGTCCAAACAATTGTATCAGACAGTTGAGCAACCAGTGAATCAACCTCAGCATCTCTCAAACAGAACTCGATCAAAAACATCAAAAAATTCCAGCTTTAAAATTGGATGTCAACTGCAAATTCTGACAGAAAAACTCCACTACATTACAATAGCACAAAGTCATTTTATGATACAAACAATAGGTTCACATAAATAGATGTCACTCTTCCAACTCTTGCAAAAACATTATACACTTAGCCAATAATAAGCACGGGAACACCACAATTTCACACTCGGTGCGAGCTCATTCACCCCACTTGTATACTTAATCCAATAAAAAGTAGGCGAATACAACAATGTCACATTCAAATGGGAGCTCCTTCTCCCCACTCATAATGCAAGTACCTTTACAACTTGTTATATCCAATCATAACAAATTTGGAAGGGTTGTAAACAGGAACATGCAACAGCATCACTTGGATCCCTGGTTCTGTGCCGGATAGCCATGTGGTCTAGGTGGGCCTGCAGTAGACAACACACGTAGCCGTCCAGCAATTTCAGCAAATGACGGGCGGACCACAGGATCTGGGGCCCAACACTGCTCCATTAGCAATTTCCAGTCAGGGTCACAGAAGTTTGGGACAGGTGGTCTCAATGTATTGTTCACTATACCCCCTGCCAGTAGGGTGAGACATAATCAAATAACATGAACAAGCAAAACCTTACAAGCTAGGCATTTTAGGCTTTTAGCAAAGTGAGACGGGGCACAAACCTTAAGATTAATTTAAATTGGATTTTTAGTTTCCAACTCTCTATTATACAATCTGTGTGCATGCATGCATGCACATCCATGTATGTGAGAGAGAGAGAGAGAGAAGGGGGGGAGTGGGAGTATAAAAATGATTCAAATACATACGAAACAAGTTATATAAGTTCAAAGCACAATATCATTAAGTGAATGTAGTAAAATATTTCATCTCAAATTTACAACTCAGTTTCTATCATTTAACACAATCAAAAAGCCCCATCAAAAATTCCCATAAGCAACCCATCGAGCTTTGGGCATGGCTAATATAATCATCCCATAACCTTGCTCCACTATGCAAATCCCTTGAGAAAACTCCTACGAGAGATTTTTTAACAATCTAAATTTCTTTGCCTTTTTCATTATTTTTCATAAAGCAGAATAGCCAGAAATATGCAGTTTAGACTAACCAAATACATAAAAGAAATAGAAGTTTATGGATATCACAGAAGTCTATCTCAATGACTGATAATAAAAATATTCAACGTACATTCAATGTGTGGGTAAATTCTCAACTGAGCAAAGCCTTATCCCAATATTTTTGGGGTTGTCTACATGAATCCTCTCTCCCCATTATTATACTCTATCAATTTTTTTTAAAAAGGGGGAAGAGGGACTTGAACCATTGATCTCAAGAAGGCAAAACCTTCACAAGACAAGGATTAATAGCGCATGTGTAAATTATAGAAGAAAAAAAAAGTTATTTTAATGGCAGCAATGACTATAATTCCTTATTTTTGTTGTGCCCTTTTCAAAATCTACCATATTTGTATGGCTTTGCTCTTTTAATGGACCCTTAACTTTAACTCTTAACTAGTACTGAATAATTAACAACCAAGTACAACATCATAATAATACTGTTCCCGTTACACATCCTGCAAGGAAGAGTGTAATAGATGGAAACAGGATGCGATTTAGACAGTTATTTTGTCATCCACGGATTTGTCCATTGTATACTTCCAGTTTTCATCTTTTTTGGCAACTTTTCAACTCTTCTCTTCAAAATAAATTATTTTCTTGGATAAACAATCAAATCAAACTAAAAGTCCTTTCTCTAACCATGCGACGCTAACAAACTGTTAATTGTTAGCTATTGGCATTGTCTTGTGGGGAAAAAATGAAGTCATGAAGTATTATAGCTTCTCTAGTCCTTTGATGATATACACCATAACTCACCATAGGTTTCAACCCCATCAAAGGACCTTCAAATACAAGGTACAATCGTCACTAATCCTATTACCACTGAAACATCCCAAGGAGCCATATAAAAATTTGTCCAGAGATGGATCTTAAAACACATCAAACATAGTTTAGTAAGATTCCATCACCAAACACAAAGAAGAAGATTCAACCTAACAGAATCCCCTATACCCATTCTTGAAAGGTGTCAGTTTTGTATTTGCTTCAGTTTTAAGAACAAACTAGTCACTGAATGCTAAAGTTGTAAACAAAAAAGTGCAACAATGGACTCAACCAGTTTGACTGTCAAAGTAAGTCAAAAACAGCTCCTAGGGAGTAAGAAATAGAAGATGAAATGACTGTGAGGAGGGTAGGAAAGTGAGTAAACACACCTATGATTGCTCCATAATGCATATTCGCGTAAGGCTCCTCACCAGTAAGAATTTCCCAGAGGACAATGCCAAAGGAGAACACATCAACCTGTGCAAAAAAATATTGTCACGAATACTTGCAAGGAATGTCTTCCTCATTTCAATTTTTTTCCTTTCTTAGAGAAAACCCAATCTCTTTCTCTTTTCTGACCAGAAACAATCTCTTTCTTTCTTCTTTAGAGCAATAGGATGCCTATATTTAAGCAAACAAACAGATTAACAATACCTTGAAGGGCAAAGTGAAAGAGATTTGGCGAAGGGAAAAATATGAAATGAAGACGATAGAAACTACTAAATTTCACATTGTGAAATAACAAGTCAAACAGTGAGGTTAAACCCATTGTAGTGAGCTATAATAAAGTCCATAGCCATCTAAAATATAATATATCCTCATCAAAGGTTCTTTTAGAGAGGGAGAGTGAGGAACATACCCCCTCCCCCCAGCGAGGCGGAAAAAATGGAAGCAAAAAGAAAAGAGAAAATTTTCTTTGCAGAATAAATCAGAGTAACCAATAGAGAACATAGTCACTCAAAACACATGGCACAGATCATGCAAGCAATTAGCATAGTGAGAGAAATTAGCACCAATTACTACGGTTGACTTTTCTTTTCCCTCCTACAGATAGCAACAAAAGATGAAAAACCTTACCTTTTCAGAAACCTTACTACTGCTACCATTTAATAACTCCGGAGCCATCCATGGAAGTGTTCCCCTCACACCACCAGTAACCAACGTATTTCTTTTGATTTTTGACAACCCAAAATCGCCCACCTGCAAAAATAAGGCATTATCTTTTCAAATTAGTTTGACACCAATCATTTCTCGCTAAATACTACAAACAATACAGTCTTATGTCTTACCAGCATTCACCATACATCCCCAAAATATTTAGCAACGCAACCCGAATGAGATAATTGAGATAAATAAAAAAAATATATTATGTGATAACAATCACCTTGCAAATAGGTTGTAAAGGATCTTTCAAGTTCACAAGCAGGTTGTCGCATTTCAAATCAAAATGCACAATATTCTTTGAATGCAAATATTCCATTCCAAATGCTGCATCCATTGCAATTATGAGCCGCTTGCGACGATCAAGATGCCTAGACAGAAACGTCACTTTTGAGTGGAGGAAGGGTAGAAGACAGAGTGCTTAATACAACTTAAGTGCAAGTGCAACAGTATTGCAAGGAGAAAAACAAATATATATTACCTGTCCTTGCTAAGCAAAACATGTCTAAGAGAACCGTTCACCATGTACTCTGTGACCGTGGCAAGCGTTCCACCTGGTCCATCCTGCACCACACCATAAAATGCCACCACATTGGGATGGTGAAGCTTTGAAAGAATGTCAGCTTCATGCCAAAACTCCACAGTCTGCAAAATTTATAAGTAGTTATTCACTATGGAATCAGAAGTCATCATTCAAAGAGGAGGAAAAGGGGGAGTAAAGAAAAAGGAACCCACAAGTGACTCATCTCATGCCTAAATATCTAGGATTGAGAACCTATATACATCATCATCTGCTAGTTTCTGTCAATTCCATGGTAGTAGAGATTTAAATGTCAAAAAATAACCCAAGGTTTGACTAGCAACATTGCAAAGCAAGTTCCTATAATGATTGTGCAATCGATCACCTTGAGAGTTACAAAGAGATGACCTGATAACATGATACACAACAAAGCTTACCAGTCTCTCTTGCTCTGACGAGCGACCAGTGAAACAGCTCTTCTTTATTCGCTTGATGGCGACATCTGTTCCCCTCCATTTTCCATGGTAAACAGTCCCAAATGTTCCAGAACCCAATTCCCTTAACTCTTCAAGATCTTCATTCTTGATGATCTGGAAAAGCAACCAGAACAGATAATCAACAATAAATGACTGAAACAATCTACTGTGTCGTGCCAAATATTTGTTAACATGCAAGTGTGGAGATGAGTTTTTCTTTTCATGCATTCTTCAGCACAAGATTGAGCTTTGCTTGTCTATTATCATTTAACCACCAGAGCTTGATATGACTCAGCTACAAGTAACTGCAGTTGGTTTGCTTTTTCTTTCATATATCAATCACTCAAACGTGCATGATTACTCAAAACAAACATTGAATATTTTGAGCACTTGTTATGAAGATCAAGGATTAAGAGATACAACGTGAACAAATTTGATATTTAGGGTCAACTATCCATAGACAGTCTGAGATTGTAGACATTAATCATAGAATTTCCACATAATGGGCTAAGTGGATGAGTAGATATGATGTATTGTGTAATTGAAGCATGTCTCCCAAGCTAAAAGACAAGTTTTACTAGACAACCAAAAATACCAGTCATGCTTTTATGGTAACAACTGCTGAGGAATTAGAAACAACAAAGGGTAGTAGGTGTAGGTCTTTCCAGGAGGATCCATTAATACAATTGAACTCCAAAACTTGAAGAACTAGCCTTGGAAGGAAAGATTTTTTCAAAATCAAAATCATAGTCTTTCTATCACTGATTCGTTTCGGTCCCCTTGAAAACCGAAACATTTCACACATTTTGAAATGAAATTTTTATCCTTGATATGGATGTATAATTATACATAACATCATTTAGCAAGGAGAGTGCTACGGATAAGAGCTACAAAACAAACCACGACACAAAGCGACGTACCAACAAAACATACCCTCCTCGCACCATGTATCAAAAAAGGCACCATACCACGTACCATAACAACCCACAATCCAAGTAACATTGAGATTTACAGTATAGGATAGTGCATCTCCACATTGCACAAATATGAAACATAACTTATGAAGCATCATTATTTGGGATCTCTTGCAGGCTTACGATGAAAATAATGCTAAGGAAAATTTGAAAAAGATAGACAAAAAACAGAATGCTTCATTTTGAAGGGAAATCGGGGGTGTTGGGCGCACGTCTTATCCAAAGCAGGTAAAATGAAAGAAGTGCCTTCAAGCCTAAAAAATACAAAGAATTAGAAAGCATCAATCTCACCCTAAAGACGCACACAATAAATGCATACAGTATACATACATTCTTCATGGTGGCAGACCCTTCTTCTCTAATCAATTGTAGGTACCACCATATGCTAATTCAATCCAAGTCAATTGTGTCCTCACAGTCTCGACTTAGATTTGTCTTGATCTTCCTCTTATACTTTTGACACACTCACTTGAATCACATGACTTCTATATGCATGTTGCATTGATTGGATGATGACAACTGCCCAAACATCCTGCACAATATACTCTGTATTGTATCTTCCAAGATGCAATTCATGATATCTGAGAGTGCATTCGTTCTTTGTTCTGTCTTAGTATTCACTCATCGATATCCTCATTCTGATATCTCATTCTGACTCAATTGATTTTTGAACATGGTTGTTCAACCACTGTGGAAATACTTTTATACGGAGATAATATGAAAAAACTATAACAATGCAATCTGTTATCTACGTAATCAGCCGTGTGGACAGTTACCTTACTGATTCTTATTCTTGACATGTCTTTTTCAGAACTTCACAATTCACATCATAAATGCAGATGTTTAACCAAAAATACCAAAATCATAGTAAGTAGGCCAGTTATCTACGTAACCACTAAATCTTGAATGAGGGAATGATGTTTCAACAATGCTCAACTGTTAGTGGTGGCAGTGGAAACCATTGCGGTTTGCCATTGATGTGGTGGAGCTATTGATAGATTAGTTAGCCATGCAAAAGTGTTGGAGATGGTTATGGTAGTCGTTTGAGGAGTAAGCGAAATCTGTGCTTCAACTAGAATTTTTTTCATATCTTACTCGCCACTTAGCTTCTGCAAAAGGATTTCTAACGCCCATAACAAAAAATGACTCTCTGATTTACACCCACTTGGATGCTTCCAAATGCAATAAATATGCAAATAATATATTTAAACAGTGCTTCAGATTTCTGATAAGGGCAAAAATTACACAAAATTTTAGATGATAAACTACCCAAACTTTTTTCTCATGTGTTACAAATACATATTTAAGACATTCACTGCTGTATTAAACATCACAATACCTGCAAGCTACTAGGATCAAAATCTCGCAGAGAAAGATCGACAAGAGGTTGACCAATCTCAGCTTCTAGCTTCCCATCCTTTGAGAGACAACAAAAAATCAGAAAACATGGTGAAGGCAAGTAAAAGTGTTGAGTATGCACTATCGAGTAAGTACCTCGTAACCAGATTCAGGTCTCCTTGGGTTCACCAGACCATCAAACTGTGCACTTTGATTGTCATAAGTCTGAGAAGGATTGTAATCTGAATGCAGATCCATGGTGTTAGGTTCAACAACACCAAGTGACGGCTGCTGAGTGCTGGAATCAAAACTAACACGGGAGTCCATATGATCCAGGGCAACTCCATCTGCCTTGTAAGGTGGAAAACTATAATCCACAGGAGCCCCTTCTTTGATATTTGTTATAGGAGGTGAGAAACCAAGATGATCCTGATCCATAAGGGAGACATCTTTTCTCATAGAATCCTGGGCCAACTTTTGAAAGAATGACCAATGGTTAGGTTCATGATTCTCCATGTTCAAGCTCAAGCCAGTTCCATCACTGTGCAGTGGACTAATTCCAGCAGACCCATCCAAAATTCTAGCTTTGGAAAAGATATCAGAAAGGAAATCATGCGGAAAACGGTCATTGATATCAATAAGGATGTCTCCATGCTCTGGAGAGCCAACACCAACAGATGGCTTCCCCTGAGAAACAGCTGTAGATTTCTCATCCCAATGAATCTCTTTTGGCCTAGAAGCAGAATCTTCATGTTTACCAGAAAGTACTCGGCTTGTAGCAGGAAGATTTGACCTCGATGTTTCTTTATCTTTGTAAGTACTCCCAACCTGCACCATATCATGGTCATCCACAACAGTACGTTCTGCAGGCTTTGGCTCAGATTTCGGAAACTTTGCCTCAAGACCCCCATCATCAATATTGGTGTTCGCATTGATCTTACCAGCTATCTCTTTAGACTTCTGAAATTGTCCTAGCCCATCTTCAACGGTTTGTAGATTTGTAGACACAGGTTTAGCAGAAGAAATAAACCGGTCTGTCTGGGCAGCGACATTCAAATCACGCAACTTATCAACTGCTTCTGTGATTTGCTGTGAAACATCAGAATGTGCATGACTAATCAAGAACTGGGAACCAGAAGAATCATCAGATTTAGACAGGCGGTTAAGGCCGGCTTGCTCCCTAGGAATTCGTTCAGAACGAAAAAACCGCTGAGGAAGCATTGGTGGTTCGGGATTGCCAGAGTCCTCGGGATAAGCGTCAGAGTCGCCGTATCCCGCAGCAGATGCATCACCAGATGCATAAATATGGTCATCTTCATTTATTTTATTCAATTTTTCTTCCTTCAAAGATTCAGGAGGCATTGAATGCTTCACAGGTTCCTGGTTCTTTACACTCAATTTAGTTGGCAAGAAAGGAGCTTCCATGTCTACAGCAGAACTGGCAACAGAAACAATGTACTCATTTTCTAATGACTTGAATTTCTCAGATTCATTCATTTTTGGAATTGATAAATCTCTCTTCATCTTTCCCTCCTTCACTAGAACTTCCTTTTCTATAGACTGATCTTTGCTAAAATCATTCTTTTTGTGGATTGAGCTGTCCCTCTTAAGTTTCACCTCCATCACTGATACTCCGGGATCCTGCACATGCAGGCCACTGTGTCTTTGCTCTTCATCCAGGTCTCCCTGCCGAGTCATATGACCATGGAGAGGCTTGGGGACTACATTTTCTACAACTGGTGCACTAGTGGACGGGTGAAAACTATAATCATAGTTTGATACAGATGTCAAAATAGTACTTTTGCCATTTATATCGTGGAAGCTCCCAACAGGGTGGCTAGTGGATGATGGATACCATTCAGCATCTCCAGGATGCACCATCTGACCCTGGTAACCTGGTGGATTGGATTCCAAATCATATGATGAACTTGGCACCACTGTTTGAGAAATTTGATTTGTGGAAGGCATACCAACTGTTGGAAGTGCAAAAACAGCCCCAGGTGTGTCAATTGGATGTCGAACAGTCTCCCTTTCACCACTTAAACTGAATAGCTCATCTAAATTGTTCCCTGAAATGCTAGCCATGTTAATTGAGTTCCTTGTTGATCCTACGTCCATGCCATTAACCGCAACTACGTATTGAATCTCAGAATCACCCTCCACACTCCCCAGGCCGAGTTGAGAATCATCCAGATCATTGTTAGAGAAGAGAAACAACCTGAGTTTCTGTGATCTAGCATCTTCAAGTAGATCAAATTCCTCCATCATATTTTGTAGGTCCTCGTCACAAGAGACAGACACCAGCGCATCAAGATCCTCGCCAGGAAGCTGATATTTGATCATACAAGTCTGGTTGTATATTGTCAATGTTTTCTGCATTAGCTCCTGAAAGGAAATATCCTTGCTTATCCGGATAATACGTGTTTCACCTCCAACATACCTGAGCTTTCCATCACTGGGACGGGGCAAAATTCTACCACCAAAACTGCAGAGGAACTTCAACTTTGTTGATGACCCACCAGCAGCTCCCATAGAGGTGTACCTAAGAGCTCCAAGACTATTATCATTTCTTGATAAGGTTCGTGTTACTGATTGCACAGACTCATCATCAGCTTTTTCTTCATTCACTGAAGATCCTTTCCTTTCATGATCTTGTACACGATTATTGTCTCCAGAGACAACCATGGACATATCTGATCCACTTTCAGAACCTGTCTGAGAGATGTCCAATATGCCCTTTAGGTCCGTATAAGAAGTTGTACTATTTGGCTCACTAGGAGTATTTGGAATGAAGTGCTGCCGTGGATTCACCCTTTCCCGAATAAATTCAAGAGCAAATTCTTCACCAGTCTGCATGGAATAGTTCAGCACAGGTCTAGTTCCAGCTGGTATATTAAAATCAGGTGGCCTCGCGTTAGTGTTAATAGAACTCGATGGATCCTGGAAATAACTTTGATTGGCCAAACCAAGTCCTTCATTTCTAGTTTCCACGGAATTGTAGCGAACTTGTTCGTACTTTTTCCGCTGGCCTGTCATACCTTTTCCCATATTTTTCTCCATTTAGGTCAATTTTCCACTCAATGGGACAGTCACCACGGTAAATAACCATAAATATCAACCAGATGCCTTATGGATGCAAGCTCTGTTCTCATTCCAGTATCACCAATACCTTCCAAGCAAAGAATTTTGGTTCTCAATCAAGGGTTTCTGAAATAAGAAATAGAGGTCGCCTAGCTTGACCAAATTTTAAGACCAGTGAAAATCTTTCCAGAAAGACAGGAACCTGCAAAGCATGTACACAGGGGAAAACAATAGAACTCCTTAAGCTAAAGGAAAAGGTCAGAAAATTGAAGGAAACTGAATCAACAGAGTGCCACTGCATGCAGAGAAAACCAAAAAATTAGTCATCTGATTAAGCAAAAAGACATACAAAAACATAAGATGACCCAAAATCAGTAGAACATGATCATGCAGATCGTAACATAAACCAAATTAGCACACACACAACTTCAAGTAGAGGAAAGCTATGACAAATTTAGTGAATAAAATATGGGCAGCTCCTTTAATGAATTTAGGCCAATCCTTTCTGATCATTAAATTGATGACACAATTGTTGAACAACAATATGTAGTTCAACAGCAAACTTTGAAAAAGTAATGCTTGCCTTGGATAGACCTTAGTTACCAAAAATCGCTAAACCCAGTCCACGATCTGGGTACAATGATCCCAAATGGGTTCCAGTCAAGATCACTAAATGCCTAACCCCAACTTGTAATACTAAACCCAAATCCATTTGGATTGGAATTTGTACCAGAAATATAAAGTAAATACTAACTGAATGTATGTGTATCGATATATAATTATATATAATTTTTTGATAATAGGAAATCGGGCACAAATGTAAACTATGTGTAATATTGATATAGATAGTAATTGATTAGGAGTTTATGGATGTACTATTATATATAATTTTGTATAGTAGTGAAAGCAATTTAGATAAGGGTTCTAAAACAAATTGCGACCCAAAATACCGGACCGTATAAGCTAACCTCCTCGCACCGCGTACCTAAGAAAATGTCACCATATATTCATACTCGTACCACTTACCAAATAGATTCACGACTAGGTAATATAGGGATAGACAGCTTTGTTCTAGGTACCTCGACAACAACCCACTTACAATTTGAAGATGATTTCATGTTGTATGTGTTGCATAGCCCAATAGAAAAAAATTTATATAGGTGATTGCATAGCATGAATCATTTGCCCAACTAAAATTTGTCATCGTGCCTAACATGTTAGCCCGCCGAATCGAAGTTAATTGATGTTGCCAATATTCTACATACTCCATAATGGGAATAACTGTGCATGGAAGCAAGAGTTCTTTAGCTCTGGTCTTAGGTCCCGATTGGTGTTGGCAAGCAGTACCACGGGGGTTTTGGGGGGCTATCCCATTTGTTTAAAGAATGAGTTTCTCTTGGATTTAACTCAAGAAAAAACCTCTTATGTGCTCTTTCCAATTAGTGAAGTGCTTTTTGTTATTGGAGCACGAATGCATAAGAGTCTCTTTCTTTGAAGGAGGGGCTTCAAAAAGGAAGTAAGCTTTTAGCAAGTGAACGAAAGTCCAAGAGCTGCCGGAAGTATGAACCCTTCCCCGTAAAACAATGCACTAGTCGCATTCACTGACAAATCCCCGATAAATCATAGTTAGTGTAATTCTATTTCAGATTGACATCAAAAATATTTGGAAGTCAAGCCCTTCCCAAGGGAGTCCATTGTACCTTGATTGTGACTCGAATAGCTAGTCTTCTGGATGAGCAGTAGATTTCTGTATCAGAAAGAGGTAAAAACCAAGGACTAAACTAAACACATTAGTCACCAGAGTTCCAACTAACAACGGATGCACAAGACCGTGGCAAATAAGAGGGTTAAAAACTCATGAATTCACGTTCCTCTATGCACCGTAAAAAGGGCTAAAGCATGTCTTCTGAAATTTTTCCTTTCCAGATTCAAATAAATTAAAAACCAACCAAAAATGAAAGAAGAAACCAAACAAAACAAAGATGGTGGAGTTTGTAACACCAAAAATCAATCCTTTGACACATCAAAAGATAGTGAGAAATTGATGCGGTCAAAAGTGATTTACAGTGCACAGGTTTTCTCTCTTAAAGCTATATGTTTCACATGTTTCTAGTAACCAGATGGCATCTAGACAACGCATATATCTCTAGATTCTTCAGAATCCACAGTTTTGACTACCAAATTTGCAGCTAACCAATAGGTTAAGATAAGAAACTCAGCATACAGTTTAAGAGACTCAGCTAACCAATCATCACTTTGTGCAAATATGCCCAAGGCTAGGTCTGTCTCTGCTTCTCGAGTCTACCTCTTCCAGCACGCTGGACTGCAGTGAGTAATTACCCTTTTTAAGTAACTCTACAGCATTTATCCGAACAACCTGAATAAAATGCATCAATTTCTAATGAAGCATCTCAACACTAAATACTATGAAGGTATCCATCAAAGGAGAGCAAATACAAAAAAATAAGAAAAACATTACAAAGCAACTATAGCAGATGTAATATTAGTGTAGATGTGTGTATATGTGCATCTGATATGCATGTGTAATATACATAGTGGATGGAACAACCAAGTAAAACACTTTACAGCAGCTAAATTTCTCAACCAAATAAAAATTCAACCCCAAAATTGAAAATCAAAGCTTGATCTGATAATAAAAAGTTTCAGCAGACTAGGCCGTTCTGATCAGACAATTAAGAAATCAAATGTATTAAAGACCGCTCAGAAACAGGAAATTTCAAGAATTGTAACCAAACCCTAATATGAAACACAATAACTTCGACTAAAATTTCAGCCAAAATACATAGATCGAACTTTTCAGCCTACATGCATAGATCGAACTTGAAATTGCTAATAAAAAATAAATAAATAATCAAATGCCTTTTGCAGCTAAATTCATTTCAATAATGATCGAATCATTATCTGAAACACTTTGAAATAAAATAAGCTCTGATACTATATCTCTATTCTTGTAATTTTTTTAAGAACACAATATCAGAGAATTAAGAAATGAAATTAACTAAAAAATCGATTACAAACAGTCAAGCTCAAGGATTACACGACCAAAACTCAATCGGAAATGAAATAAAGTCGATTAAAAGTCAGTATACATACATAGATCGATTTTTCAATAGATGCAAATAAAAAAAAAGATGGTTTTTTGTATCTAAATTCAGCTCAATTTGATAGACTCAGCACCTGGGATACTTTGAACTAAAGTATGCTGTGGTACTTGACTCTCTCTCGCCCCTTCGAGTCTCTCTCTCTCTCTCTCTCTCTCTCTCTCTCTGAGTGTATCTGTGATATTTAGTTAGCTCATACACGATCTAGATTTTCTCTATATATATACACAAATTACACTGACGTCCCTACATATTGATATAATTATCAAAAGTCCCTAAGATTTGAGACAAAATACATGGACCCTCTTAACAAAAGCATTACGCTTTTTCTTCAGCTTTTTTTTCTTAGAACTATAAATGACAAATCTATTAATTATAAAGTAAACAATTTTTAACAAAACTCGTGAATCTTTAAAAAAATCACACAAAATAAACAAAATTGAGTTTTATAATAAAAAGTTAATCTGTCAGTTCCGTTATATAAATAGACAGACATGAACTCTACTAAACAATTATTAAAACAAGACAGAACCTTATAATGCACAATAATTAAGGAGTCGTATTTGAATTAAATAAATTTTTAAGATGACAAAATTTATGAAAGTTAAAAATACCACACAACTTGACATATTAACGATTTTAGCCTTAAGGCTAATAATCAAGCCGAGTCTTTCGAATATGACTCTACTCGAACTTTTCTCGTGCGTTAAACGAGTTGAATTTTAACAATTTTTTGTGTTCACATTTTAAAAAGTTCAATTTTTTTATATGTAAAATCAAGTTAACTTGTACCTGAAAGCACAATGCAACGTAAGTAAAAAATGATAAATTTTGGAGAGAGAAAATTCAATGTGAATGATTTTGAGAGGAATATTGGTAGCCAATTAATGAACCTATTTGAGACTGTCAAATTAATTTATTGAAATTTGTCATGTTTTATATAATAATATAATTGAATTACTCACACTCAGTTCGAGTTTAGCTTGGCTCATTTTTTAAACGAATAGAACTTGAATAATTTTTTAGGATTATTAAGAAAAACAAATTTAATAAATTCGGCTTTGAACTCGTAAAAGTGAACTCGATTATCAGCCCTCCTTAGCCTTGATGCATAAAAGTACATCCTGCACTAGATATGGTGCATCAGCTTGAAACCATCCTCTTTGTTTGCTTGCACTTTCCAGGACTATTTTATTTAACCAGAATAAATACTAGGAATATGAGTGGAAATTATCCAAATCTTTGGGCTTTTCTAGATTTAATGAAGACTTTAGGACGTTAATGATATCTATATATTTTCATCTGCAAAAAAAAAAAGGTTTGTTGCTCAAATGAAAAATGAAATCCACGCGCTTTAGAAGCGAGGACGCTGGACGTCCAATGGCAGCCGAACGTGAAAGAAAAACGTCATAGAGCACGTGGCCAATAGTATGGCCAGCCCGAATTACTGCAGAAGTTGTTGCTATTTGGCCAGTGGACGGGGGTCTCGATTGGTAGTACATATTGAATTGAATAAATTATTAGTCAATGGAACCATAGAAAGAGGCAAAGGAAAAAAAAAAAAAAAAAGACAAATGCTCAAGAGAACACTAGGTCAAATTATAATGTATGGCTATATTGTATATAATAAATCGGTTAGTTATTTGAAATTTTATCCCTAACATATTTTTTTCCCTTAAATCCATCATATCCTCTCTCACGTCACCTGTCACTCCATTGTCAAAAAAAGTTACTTGTCCTTTTTTTTTTTTTGGGAATTGCACCTAGTGTGTGCATATTATTGTTGTGTTGGAAAATATACCAAAGTTGATGAGTCATTGATGTTGATTTGGTGAATTTGTAGCTATTGATCATTAAAAGTAATCAAGTAATATAATATAAAATAATAAAATGTAGACATGTTACACGTGTTAAAATTTTATTACATGAAAAATAGAGGTATGATAAGATAATTAGACCCTGATAATTAAGGTTTAGTTATTTATACCGGGTATCAATTTATGTATGTGCTAGAAATAGTGTTTACGATTTTGAGGGATCACGCACTTTAAGATCTAGTATTTTAATATGTTGGCTTACCTCATTTCAAAACATGAAATTGATAAGGTCTCTATATTTGAATCATTGAATGTAGATTCTGTGATAATACAGTGGATTACGAAGACATGTTTATATCTATAATAATAAGATAGAGATGAATTGAATCTCTAAAATTGGAAAAGCATAAAGACTCTAATTTTAACTCAATGTTCTAGATTTCATCTCAATTCTTTCAATTTAATACAAAAGCTCACAATACATCCCACACAAAAATCTTCTCTCGCCCAGTTTAACCACACACATGCCACTCGGAATACACAACTCAAAGCCAGAGCCCTCTCTCTCTTTCCATGCACACACCCCCATCGAACACACACACACACATATCAGCACACACAACACAAATTGGTTTGATAATTTGGGTGTTTTGGATGTTAATTTGGGTGTTTTGAATGTTATATTTTTTCAAATAAGCTTGATAAGTTTTGTAAGAATAGGATTTTTCATAGGATTGTAGGGTTTTTATTGAATGTTATAGTTGGTAATTGTATTTTGATTGAATGCTAATAGTTATTGGTCGTATTTTGATTGAATGTTATAACTTTAAAATTGGATGATATGATTTGTTAATTATATGAAATGGGATGTTGATTGTATGAAATTAGATGTTAATTGTATGGAATGAGTTTGCTAATTGTATGAAATTTGTTTGTGAATTGTATCAAATTGAATGTAATTTTATAACATAGGGTTTTGGAATTAGAAGTTAGGTTTGCGATTGAATATTAGGGTTTTAAAATTGAATGTTAGGGTTATATTTGATTCAAATGAGTATTACTTCATGGAATAAGATGTTGAGTTGATAATTATTTTATGGTTTTTGGATGTTAGGGGTTTTTTAATCCATGGAGTGCGATGTTGAGTTGATGATTATTTAGTAAGAAATCGAATATTAGGGTTTTTAAATTGGGTTTTTTATTAAAGATGTTGTAGGATTTTGATTGAATATATTTTAGGGTTATTGTGATTGAGGCTATTTGTTAATTGCTTGAAATTGTATGTTAGGGCTATTAGGGTTTTGATTGAATGTATGTTAGGGTGTTGATTGAACAATAAGGTTTTGAAAGTGGGTGTTATGCATGAGTTGGGATGTTGCGTTGACGAATATTGAGGGTTAATTTTATAAAATTTGAAATGTTTTTTAAATTGGATGTTAATTTTCTTGAATTTTAAATTTTTTAGTGGTATTTTGAATGAATGTTAGAGTTATGGGTGGTATTTGATTGAATGTTAGAGTCATTTTTTTATGACATTGAATTTCTTGATTGTATGAAATGGGATGTTGAAGTTAGGTTTTCAAATTGTGGAATTAAAGTTATTGTTATTGTATGCTAGGGTTTTAAAATTGAACGTTAGGGTTATTTTCACAGAAATTGGGTTTATAATAGTTGAAATTTCATTGAAATTTCAACTATTATACATAGTTTATAAAATTAACTGTGTAGCCACCACCATTGCAACCGTACAACCATTGAAAATGGATAATGTCACTATTTTTGGCAGTGTAAGTTGATTATTTCTTTTATTCTCACTAAACATCTCTTATTGATTTGTTTAATAACCTATTTATTTTGATTTGTATTCATTAATGTTGTGACAGATGAATGATGATCTAAAAAATACCGTATAATAAGCTTTTTCTGGCTCATCCTTTTATTACTTTTATCTAATCTTCTTATCCGCCTATTTACTATTCAATATTTTTTTTGTCTACAGGTTCGAATGCTTCTTTATAATACTGTAGGTGTGGTAATTCGCAATGAGTTTAACCTTAATCGTCTCCATATATCTGAGATAATGTTACCTGACACTCATTTGTCATAATTTTTTTTTTAACTAGGGTTTTCTTACATCATAAACGTGTACCTCACACCCATTTGTCAATCTAAATTTTGTTTTAAATTAATATTTTCTTACATCATATACATTGATTTTTTATACAAGGGAAAAAAATGTCAAATGTATTGGCGAATGCCAATCTAAGGCGAAAGAAATGGCCACCTATTCTGGTAAAGGAACAAAAAATAAAGTTCGTCAAGTGGCATGACTTTTCATCATATTTGTTCTTCATCGTTTTATGTATATAAAGATGTTTATGATTATTATAGTTATAAAGCTAATAAATGATTGGGTAAACAATTATGTTAAGGCAATATTGTTATATAATTGTAAACATTGTAGTACTGTGATCTGGCCTTTTAACATAATAATGTTCCAGTGGTTTAAATTAGTTTACGTTTTGCGATGTCTTATTTTTAGAGGAAATTTTCCTACTATCTAGATGATTATTAAAAATATATATCACTCAAACGATAAGAAATATGTTTACATAACAAATCAATATTTAATTTTTTATAAGTTTGTGTTTTAGGCACCAAACAATAATATCATATCAACCTGGCCGCAATGCGCAAGGCTTGAACCAGAAAGATGTTATGCTGGGAAAGAAAATGCGTGTTTTAAATGTCAATTGGTTCAAAAAGAGAGCGATCAAGACAATATGCCCCTGTTCAGCCTAGATTTTTTCCATCTTTACCACTGAGTTATTTTCACCAAACATGCTTAGAAAGAGAATCAAATAAAAGGTCTCACCTTCAATCAATAACTTTGTCTATAAAAATTTCTTATCCTGTATTAAAAAGTATTGTGACAACAAATGTCTTAGAGTTATCGTCAACCACCATGCTCTAAAATCATGATGAAGACACCAAGACAACTATTTTAGGGTGGTTGCTTGTGGCCATCATAAGTCAAGAAAATCTTCCTAAAAATCTAGACGAATGCACACCAACAAATGTCTCAATAGTGTCGTCTGTGACTGCCATGCTCCAAGAATTGTCTCATCAAAACCTTGACGGAAGAACAATAACACTCTTGGAACCACTCTTCCCATGTTCTTCAAGGTCATCGTATGTGATAAATGTGCTCCAACAAATATCTAATCTGAATGAAGACACCAGGTGTTCATTATAAGTTTTAATGTCTTACTCTCACTCTTG